AAGCTGTTGTGTCACCAAAGCCTTGTTCTCTTCCAGCATGACAGTCAGGAGACAGACCAGTACTAACAGCTTCCGTATCCTTGTCAGTCCTTGAAGGCTAATTTTCCAGTGTCTTATGGGAAACAGTCGCTCCCAGGTCTTATAGGCGCCTCATCTCATTAGAGTGTCAGGAGCCAATGGATATCCACAAGAATGATTTCTGCTTCCCAGAGGCAGCCACCCTCAGAATCTTGCCTTGTTCATGCAGAGTTGAGATGCGGAGGCTCCTGAAGATGGCTACTGCACTGTTTTTTCCCCCTAAAGGTATCAATCCTTCAGGTACAGACTTCACTGTGATATTCAAATCTGTCTCCTGGCAGGGATCTTGCAAGATACAATTTCAGGTTGAGCACCTGTAATGAGAGGCACCAGAGTCAGCAGATGTATTTAGCCAGGCTCAACCTAAAAGCTACTAAATCAGAATCTGTTGAGATGAATCCTGGTATCCACATATTTTTAAAATGCCCTACAGGAGATTTTGATGCAAGCCAAGAACTCAGAACGACTATCAGAGCCTTTCATTTCCTTTACATCCTCAATTCCAATGATTTTCATCATCATTCTACTTCAGTCACCCAATTCCAGGGCCGAACCACTTCTGAAATCTTTCTTACCTTATAAAACACTAGACTGCAAATCAGAAGACCTAGGTTCTAGACTGGATGGGGAAGAAAGTGAAGGCTGGAGTAGTGGCTTAATAGATGGGGAGAAAATAGGAAAAAAAGCAGCGTTCATCAAAGTGTGGTCTGAAGATCACTTGAATCATGGTATTTGTTGAAAAGCAGATTCGCTGGTCCTATCCTAGATCTGATTTGAAATAGCACCTCTGGAGGTATTACTGGCCCAGGAATTTGCAATACAAAGTATTTCTTCCCTGGAATCAGTACATTCTCTCCAGCCTCCCTGCAAACCTGAATCTAGCGCATATCTTCTCATTCCTGTATCTTCAACTTTATCTTTTACTTTTATCATCATTTGAGATCATTTAATGTCTCTCCCAACATTAAAAACTTTCACTGGCTTTACACTCCTTTGCAACTACCATCCTTTCTGTTTTCAAGGCCAGAACTCCTCAAAGGATTGTCAATACTTCTCTTTACTTCCTCATTACCCATGTATTTTTCAGTTCTCTGTAATCTTACTTCTGTTCTGCCATCAGCACTCCACTAAAATTGTTCTGGTCAAAGAACAGCAAAACCCCCTTTATAGTTCATGCAATGGGCCTCATTACTTCGTACTTTCCTGAGCTCTGACAGTATCTGATACTGCTGACAGCTGCGCCTTGCTTTACTTCCATCGTCTTTCAGTGGGCTGTGCTCTAATCCCTTCTCTGCTGCCTACCATCCCTATATTGTTGTCCCTTAGGGTTTCCCAAAATCTACTCTTGTTCCCTCCATGGTTTCACTGACCATCTTTTCTGAGCTACATAACCACATACATGACCAACCATCTTACCAGACATCCTCATGTAAATGTCCCTCAGATTTCTCAAGCCTACCATGTCCAAAACTCATTCTTCTTCAGCCTCTTGCCGTGTATCTGCTGTGGAGTAAAGTATGTCAGAACACTTGACCCTATAGCCAAACTGACTGGCTTGACTCCCAGCTCCACAGCTTACTAGCTGTGTGAGGCTGGTTGGGTAAGTTACTCGACCTCCCTATGCCTGCACTTCCTCATCTGTAAAACTATGGATAATAGTACCTACCTCATGGGTCTGTTGTGAGAATTAAGGGACTACGTATTTGTAAATATTTAGGACATAAACAGCACATAGTTAGCAGTATTTATATATTTCACATATTATTCTTACTCTAATACATTCCCTAACTCAATGAATAGTACAACCAAGCCTGAAAGCTGAATGCCGTTCCTGACTTCTCTTTCTTTCCCTTAGTCTCTCTCCCCAATCAAAAGTCAAATCCTGGTAAATTTACCTCCTAAAACCTGTAGCGAATGTTTCGGCTTCACTCCCACTACCTTGATTCAGACCCCTATCACCTCTCACTTTGATTACTGCCACCCCTGTCTAACTGGTCCTTGACTTTAGTCCAACATTTTCCTCACGCTGCAGCCAGAGTCATCTCTCTCCACACCCCTTCTCTACCAGGGAAATACCTTCATTTTATTTTCTGACAAATAGTAAAACAAAAATTTTAGCAAATATAGAAAAGCACAAACAAAATCACTTACAATGTCATCACCCAGAGATAACCAGTTATTATTTTGAGGATATATCCTTTCAGGCTTTTTCTATGCAAACACACACACACACACACACACACACACACACACAC